GTAAAGAGCTGAGGAATTAAAAGAAGTTCGAGAGAGGTTCAACTAAAAGGTTGGTGTCTCTTGTTCTTTTTTATCATAACTGATTCAAAAGTCTCGTAGACCTGTCTGCATCAATCTCAGAGGAAACTCAGATATTTAGCAAATCTCTCGCTCGAACAGCATCCTTAATAAGATGGTTTAGAAAAGAAGACATACAAAGCAACGAATAAAGATCATCAATGATAAGCATAAAATATCAACAATACAACCTTCAATCATAGTAGCAAATATTCTTTCAAACATGATCCAAAACAATCAGCTTTACATAATAATGATTATAATATGATCAAAGAAATTTCATCTAACAATGCATAATTGAAAACCAAATTCTATCGCCATTTTCAGTAACAAATTTAAAGCCATTTTCAAAAGGACAACATCTTGTAAAAATTGGCTAGAAAGAAAGGCATACGAAGCCAAAGCGCAACAAACAAGTTCCCCACCACAAGTCTGCTACTTTCAATCCGGTAGAACTAATCTTTCACACATGATCCAGAGCAATCAACTTGACAATATAATCATTAGCAACATGATCAAATAAACTTGCATTTATGAATTTTTTTTATCAATACCATAATTGAAAAGTCAACAAAATACAAAACTGATTGAGTTCACAACTAAAAGTCTACAACTTTCAGTCTCAGTTGCAACTATTCTTTCAATCATGATCCAAAACAAAAAATTTAACATAATAATCATATTGAAAACTCAATAAAAAAAAAATTGCTTCTCTCAAGACATACCAGCTTAAGGCCAGAAAGGAAAGTGATTTTGCCGGAGTTATCATATGTGATCTCTCTCCACTTCTTCGATACGCAGGCTCAAGGGACAACGTCTCTACTCTGAGTGCAATGGTCCTCGATGTTTAAACGTCTCTACGCTGAGTCTAAGTCCTCGGCTACAGAAAATCTGTCGAATTCAAAAGACAATAGCTCAAGTCATCTGATTTACATTGGAGTATCATATTTTGGGAGCGTAATTGCTGTTTCACATTCCTTACCTCCCAAAACTTCAGCAAACGAACTTCCGCTTGGAGCACCCAGCTTTCAAATCGGCAAAGAGAAAGATGAATTCGCAATTGCAGTAATTAGTAAGTCAAACAGACTACTCTTCTTGATCTTGTCGAGGGTGAGCTTTCATAGCTGAAACTGTGGATATTTATAATCGAAGCTTGAGTCGGTTACTTTGGAGATAGGAGTGGATTAATTACGTAGAAGTTGGGAAAAAATTAAGAATAAATGCGCCGTTACATAGAGGTAATCGTAACGTCGTTCGTCGATCGGATTCTGGAGTTTCGTCGGAGAAGAACGCGAGGAGGTCTACAGCAAAGCGACGAAGAAACAAAGGATCATTACTGGACCTGGAATATAAAAGCCCAAACCAAAACCATTTAACCAAAAACGCATCGTATAATGTGCCACGTGTAATAAAATGCCCCAAGGAGAGACTAAACTCAACTTTATTATTATAGATGGATCAAATAAAAACAAATTTTAGTTGGGTCCAATAACAGGATCACTTGTTATTCAGTAATTGTTCAAATCAGAAGTAATTTTATTTTAAAAATAAAATAAATACTGTAACTTAAATGACAACAAAACACTTTTATAAATTTGATGACTCAAAAAACTTTATCCTTATACTTTTCATATGTAGTCTTTCTTTAACAATATTTGAAAAAGGTTACTATGTAATATTTTGGTGATTCACACGTAAGTCTTATATATATATTTTAGAAAAAAAGTCTAATTGTATTAACAAATTGGCAGGAAGAAAAGGAATTACAAGGAAGCAAGCCAGCAAGGCTGAGAATCAAAACAATAAAAGGTATCACAACAAGATCGCAATAACAAACGATCAAAGCCAAGAAGCTGAAACCGATACAGCGCTTCAAAGAGGTGATGGTCCCATCTGAAACTGTGGAGCATTAGTTGGTGAATCAGCGAAGGGAGAAGGTGAAGGAGACATAGAAGAGCTTGGTGATCTGGCTGGTCCTGGAACTGGAGCAGCCACTGGACCCAACGAGGCAGGGAAGATGAGGATGTCAAGTTTCTGTCCTATGTCGCAGTGACCAGGAACTCCACATATGAAGTGTTGAAATCCAGGTTTGGTTAGAGTTACTGTGTCTGATCCAGTTTGGTATTTAGCTAACGGATTAGACTGATCGCATAGCTCGAAGTCATGGGGAGTGACTTCAGTGACGTCGTGGAACTCGTTGTTGTATTCGAAGAGCAGTGAGTCTCCTACTTGAAAAGTTCTTGAAGAAGCCCAAGCTTGGTAATCCACACCCATCATGGTCCATCCGCTTGAGTCGCCGACTTTGTGAACCGTTCCTTCTACTCCAACTCCAAAAAGTGCCACAAGAATTATAAGAGAAGTGAAGAAATATTTGCTGTTGATCAAAGCCATGATTGATCGTTACGGAAACAAGTTTGGTAGAGATTTATGGAGACGTATGAGTTTGTTTTGTGGAAAAATAGTTCCATATACATGTGTTTATATAGGATCCGAGGAATAAAAGATAAGGAAAAACTAAAGAAAAAAGGAAATTGGATGTCAAGAAAAAAGGAAATAGTTGAAAATTTAGATCTTAATAGCTTTAGTTTTGATACTTTCTATCCTTTTTGTATATGTGAAACAAGATATACAATGACCGACTCCATTGTAAATTTTATTATTGTTTCTTTAATTATTATATTCTTTTCACCATATTTATCCTTTTCTAGTCCTATTTATCTATTTCGCCTTGTGTTGCAAAGTCATGTTCATAGTTTAGGGATAAATAGATCGATACGTCATGACTAGCGGGTATTGTAAGGTTGACATCGGTCTAGCTTTGAAATATTTAATAACATGAAGAGACATGGTTGCGTTCTTGATAGCTTCACTTATGGTTCATCAATAAGTGGTGTCTGCGAGAAGTCTATGGTCGGTGAAGCTTGTAAGCTTTACGAAGCAATGATTGACAACGGTTTATCTCCTTCTGAGGTGACTGGAGCCACATCAGCGTATGAGTACTGTAAGTGTAGACGAATGATTCATCCGATGCAATGATGCTGTTGGAACTTGGAACCGTTAGATCAGAGGCCTTTGGATTAGAACGGTTCGGACACTAGTGAGAAAGTTGTGTAGCGAGAAGAACGTTGGAGTGGCAGCTTTGTTCTATCAGAAATTGTTAGAGAAAGATGGTAGCCCTGATCGTATTAACTTTAGCTGCTTTCACTACGGCTTGCTCCGAGTGATTTTATAAATATACACAAATATATAATAAGATATTTATATACATGTGTAAACCATACATATTGTGCACTCATTCAGATTCTTCTGATGATCGATCTTTCCTCAACCTGATTTGGATTGTCGCCACATTCTCTTATCATTTTCGACATACCATTGATGTGCAAGTCGCTTGTATTCTTTCTCTCTGTTTTGCTTCATTTTTGAAGGCATCTCGGATCTTCTTTAGAATCAATTTATCATAAGGCATTGTTACTTTCTGCGTCATGTCATAATATACGCAAACGTGAAACAAAGAAAAGAAAAAGAGAATGATAACAAGAACCCTGTAAGGTTTGTGTTTGTCATTCTCCTCTCTGATTGGAAAAACACAATGCAACACTTTCTTTTAAATTTTTTCTGCGTTCAATTTTATTTTTCTTGAGATGTTTCAGATTATTATATAAGTGTCAGTGATTTGGATTTTAAACATGGTTTTTAGTTGTTTCCAATAAAAGGCTCACTGATTATTATGCACTTGTTCGAATTAAAATTAGTTTTCCCCTTATAAATAAATAAATTAGATTTTTGATCCACGTTTTTAAGCACAGATACCATATTTATTGTTTTATCTACAGAATCTTTTGTTTGAATGATAAAAAATATCACTATCTAATATAATTTTAAAAATGTCACTATCTAATATAATTGTGTAGTTTTATTTTAGAAAAATAATATCAATTAACTACACTTGGTGTTGGGAAGCGGGTCAAACTCGTCCGCCCGACCCGCCTGACCCGCAAATAAAATATATTTTATCCGCATCCGCTCCACTTAATTTTGCGGGTAATCTGCGAGATCCACGGATAATTATTAAATAATAAAAATAATTAATTTTTAATTTTTTTCTAAAAACTAATACTAAATAGTATATTTTAAATTAATTTTTTAATATTTAAAGAAAATAGAATTATTTTAAATGAAATTTAGTATATTTTTGAAAAATAAATTTAAAAAGGAAAGATTTTATTTTTGCGGATTACCGCGTATCCGCAATTGAAATTAGAACAACTCGCACCATCCCACATAAAATACACTTGACCCACATCCGCACCTGCATCTTAAATTTTTCAAATCGATCAACCTGTTGTGTGGCGGGTCAAACAGGGTGGGAACCGTGGGCTAATATCAAAATTCTCAACTCTAACTACGCGAATTAATGTTGATGTGTTTATTTTTGAAAGAAACTTCATAAATAATTAGACGGTGAATTTAACCCATTAATAAAACACATTATTATATTATTTTAAGCCTAAAAACCAAAAGACTATATTACCATTAATGTAAATAAGAATTTGTTCATATCATTAACAATAATTTTAGAAAACATAAAAAACTCATTAAAGAGAATGATTTCCTTTTAATGGTATTGATATGTAATTTAAAATGAAAACACAACAGTTTTACAAATTTGAGGACCCAAATACTTTTCATATAATAGTCTTTCTTAGTTTTTTTTTTTTAACAACTTTAAAAAGAGTCAATAATGTAATATCATGGTGATTCAAACGTAGCTCTTATACTTTTTAAATAAATTGTATCAACAAATCGTCTGGACGAAAAGGAATTACAAGGAAGCAAGGCCTAGTTTATTACAATGATGAGAATCAAAACAATAAAAGGTATCACAACAAGATCGCAATAACAAAAGATCAAAGCCAACAAGCTTAAACCGAGACAACACTTCAAAGAGGTGATGGTCCCATCTGAAACTGTGGAGCGTTAGTTGGTGAATCAGCCAAGGGAGAAGGTGAAGGAGACATAGAAGAGCTTGGTGATCTGACTGGTCCTGGAACTGGAGCAGCCACTGGACCCAAGGAGGCAGGAAAGACGAGGATGTCAAGTTTCTGTCCTATGTCGCAGTGACCAGGAACTCCGCATATGAAGTGTTGGAATCCAGGTTTGGTTAGAGTTACGGTGTCTGATCCAGTTTGGTATCTAGCTAACGGATTAGACTGATCGCATAGCTCGAAGTCATGGGGAGTGACTTCAGTGACGTCGTGGAGCTCGTTGTTGTATTCAAAGACCAGTGAGTCTCCTACTTGAAAAGTTCTTGAAGAAGCCCAAGCTTGGTAATCCACACCCATCATGGTCCATCCGCTTGAGTCGCCGACTTTGTGAACCGTTCCTTCTACTCCAACTCCAAAGAGTGCCACAAGAATTATAAGAGAAGCGAAGAAATATTTGCTGTTGATCAAAGCCATGATTGATCTGTTTGATTCTTGAATAGGGGAAACAAGTTTGGTAGAGATTTATGGAGACGTATGAGTTTGTTTTGTGGAAAAATAGTTCCATATACATGTGTTTATATAGGATCCGAGGAATAGAAGATAAGGAAAAACTAAAGAAAAAAAGGAAATTGGATGTCAAGAAAAAAGGAAATAGTTGAAAATTTAGATAGCTTAATAGGTTTAGTTTTGATACTTTCTATCCTTTTTGTATATATGTGAAACAGATATACAATGACCGTCTCCATTGTAAATTTTTTTTTTTGTTTCTTTAATTATTATATTATTTTCTTCACCATATTTATCTTTTACTAGTCCTATTTCTCTATTTCTCCTTGTTGCAAGTCATGTACATAGTTTAGAGATAAATAGATCGATACGTTCATGACTAGCGGGTATTTAAGGTCGACATATAGTTTAGAGATATGGTTGCGTTCCTGATAGCTTCACTTATGGTTCATTAATAAGCGGTCTCTGCTTGAAGTCTATGGTAGATAAGTAGATGACTGTTAGTTACTCCACAATCACCAGCAAAACAGAGAAAGATAACCGGATCTAATAGATGAACGAACCAACAGAAATAACCGGATTTAAATAATAGAAGAAAAACCGACATAGATAACCGGATTTAATCAATAAATGAAAGAACCGACATATAGATAACCGGAATTGATAACAGATAAGCCTTATAAAATTATAAGACCCAAAAAAAAAGAAGCAAAAAATCGGTTTAGGGTTTCTCTGTAGCGTCGTTAGAGAGACAGAGATCGACACTGGCGTCAGAGATCTAGGGTTTATCCCAAGCGCCATCATGTGGAACAACAACGACGGCATGCCGTTAGCCCCTCCCGGCACCAACGGCTCGATGATTCCTCCGCCGCAGCATCCTTCTTACACTCCCCTCCCGCCGCCTTCTTCTAATCCTCCTCCCGCCGAGGAGCCTACTCCCGAAGAAGCCGAGGCGAAGCTCGAGGAGAAGGCTCGGAAATGGATGCAGCTGAACTCGAAGCGTTACGGCGACAAGAGGAAGTTCGGATTCGTGGAGACTCAGAAGGAGGATATGCCGCCTGAGCACGTCAGGAAGATTATCAGGTGAGAGGTTTTCTAGATCCAGATTTTTGTTTTCTTGATTATGATTTGGATTGTTAGTTTAAAGCTTCTGTGTTGTTGTTGTTTTAGGGATCATGGTGATATGACGTCGAAGAAGTTTCGTCACGATAAACGTGTGTACCTGGGAGCTCTTAAGTTCGTTCCTCACGCTGTTTTCAAGCTTCTGGAGAATATGCCTATGCCTTGGGAGCAGGTTTCTTATAACTGATTATATCTGCTTAGTTTTAGCTGTTATTGATTGTTGTTATTGATTGTTTATTTAATTATTTTAACTCCCGTTTTCGTCCAGGTTCGAGATGTAAAGGTTCTATACCACATCACTGGAGCTATTACATTTGTGAACGAGATTCCATGGGTTGTGGAACCTATTTACATGGCTCAGGTGTGTTAATAGCCTCTTTTTTTCTTGCCTCTGAGTTTCCTAAATGTGATTTTGAGTGAAATGTATTCTATTATTTTTATGGTTTTACAGTTATGTGGATTATGATGCGTGTTTTGAGTGATATTTATTCTATTTTGTCTTGGCTTGACATTGGGGAACTATGTGGATTTTAATGCGTCTTTTGAGTGCTATTTATTCTATTTTGTCTTGGTTTGACAATGGGGAACTATGTGGATTATGATGCGTATTTTGAGTGATATTTATTCTATTTTGTCTTGGTTTGACAGTGGGGAACTATGTGGATTATGATGAGAAGGGAGAAGAGAGATCGTCGTCATTTCAAGAGGATGCGGTTTCCACCGTTTGATGATGAGGAGCCTCCACTGGACTATGCTGACAACTTGTTGGACGTGGATCCTCTTGAGCCGATTCAGTTGGAGCTAGACGAGGAGGAAGATTCTGCTGTGCATACTTGGTTTTATGACCACAAGCCACTAGTAAAGACCAAACTGATTAATGGTCCAAGTTACAGGAAGTGGAATCTATCTCTTCCGATTATGGCTACCCTTCACAGGCTTGCAGGCCAGTTGCTGTCTGATTTGATCGATCGCAACTACTTCTATTTGTTTGACATGCCGTCTTTCTTCACCGCCAAGGCTCTGAACATGTGCATACCTGGTAACGCTACTTTCCTTCTCTTCTGGAGTTTTTGATAATTTTGTTTCACTTCGGTTTCTTCTTCTAATGCATTCTGTTACTCTTACTCAGGTGGTCCTAAGTTTGAGCCTTTGTACCGTGATATGGAGAAAGGGGATGAAGACTGGAATGAGTTTAACGATATCAACAAGCTTATCATTCGTTCCCCTCTTCGAACTGAGTACAGAATAGCGTTTCCCCACCTGTACAATAACCGTCCCAGGAAAGTCAAACTCTGTGTGTATCACAGTCCTATGGTGATGTATATAAAGACGGAGGATCCTGATCTTCCTGCGTTTTATTATGATCCGTTGCTTCACCCGATAAGCAACACCAATAAGGAAAGGCGTGAAAGGAACGTTTTTGAAGATGACGACGAGGATGACTTTACCTTACCAGAGGGAGTGGAACCGTTGCTAAAAGACACCCACCTCTACACTGACACAACAGCTGCTGGCATTTCATTGCTGTTTGCTCCACGACCATTCAATATGAGGTCTGGGAGAACAAGGCGGTCAGAAGATATTCCCCTGGTGTCTGAGTGGTTCAAGGAGCACTGGTAAGCAACTGGTCTACTTTTGTTCTTTTTCCCTTACATAATTTCCTAATACTTTTCTGAACTCCTTATCTGCAGTCCTCCAGCTTATCCGGTTAAAGTTCGAGTTAGTTACCAAAAGCTTCTGAAGTGCTATGTGCTGAATGAGTTGCACCATAGACCACCTAAAGCCCAGAAGAAGAAGCACTTATTCCGCTCTCTTGCAGCTACAAAGTTTTTCCAGAGTACTGAGTTGGATTGGGTTGAAGTAGGTTTGCAAGTCTGCAGGCAGGGGTATAATATGCTGAACCTGCTGATCCACAGGAAGAGTTTGAACTACTTGCATCTTGACTACAACTTCAACCTTAAGCCTGTTAAAACATTGACCACCAAAGAGAGAAAGAAGTCTCGGTTTGGGAACGCTTTCCATCTCTGCCGTGAGATCCTTCGGCTGACTAAGCTTGTAGTTGATGCGAATGTCCAGTTCCGACTTGGAAATGTTGATGCCTTCCAATTGGCTGACGGTCTGCAGTATATTTTCTCCCACGTTGGCCAGTTGACGGGTATGTATCGTTATAAGTACAGACTGATGAGGCAGATTAGGATGTGCAAGGATTTGAAGCACTTGATATATTACCGTTTCAATACGGGTCCTGTGGGAAAGGGACCAGGGTGTGGTTTTTGGGCTCCAATGTGGAGGGTGTGGTTGTTTTTCCTTCGTGGAATAGTTCCTCTTCTTGAACGATGGTTAGGGAATCTTCTTGCTCGTCAGTTTGAGGGGCGTCATTCGAAAGGAGTTGCAAAAACTGTCACGAAACAGAGAGTTGAAAGTCACTTCGATTTGGAACTGCGAGCTGCTGTCATGCATGACGTTCTTGATGCCATGCCAGGTTTCCTTTCTTTCAAATGTGTTTTTTTTTGTGTTTTTAATCATGAATTTTTCGTATATTTTTTTGGTTTATATTTTCTTGTTATATGCAGAGGGTATCAAGCAAAACAAAGCTCGGACAATATTACAGCACCTTAGCGAGGCATGGCGATGTTGGAAAGCTAATATCCCTTGGAAGGTCCCTGGGTTACCCGTGCCAATTGAGAATATGATCCTGCGTTATGTCAAGTCTAAGGCTGATTGGTGGACAAATGTTGCTCACTACAATCGTGAGCGTATCAGACGAGGGGCTACGGTTGATAAGACTGTTTGCAGAAAGAATCTTGGGAGGTTGACTCGTCTTTGGCTAAAGGCAGAGCAGGTCTGTACATTGATTTGCATAAACAAATTCTATAAATAAGCTTCATTTACTGGTTTGAGTAAATTAGTTCCCTGTATTCTTAATTATCAGTTCCCTGATGAATTGTCCTTGTAAACCTGTCACAGGAACGGCAACATAATTACCTGAAAGATGGTCCGTATGTCACTCCAGAGGAAGCACTAGCAATTTATACAACTACTGTTCACTGGTTGGAATCGAGGAAATTTTCTCCAATTCCATTCCCGCCATTGTCGTACAAACATGACACGAAGTTGCTTATCCTGGCCCTTGAGAGACTAAAGGAATCATACAGTGTTGCTGTGAGGTTGAATCAGCAACAGCGAGAGGAGCTTGGTCTGATTGAACAAGCGTATGACAATCCTCATGAAGCTCTGTCACGAATTAAACGTCATCTTCTCACCCAGCGTAACTTCAAAGAGGTAGCTTGATATTCTTCACTATATGTTGTGGAGCTAGGAGTTGAACATATCTTGTCAAGTTTATTGTAGCAAACTGATGGTGAATCCGTTCTCTGCAGGTTGGCATAGAGTTTATGGATCTATACAGCTACCTGATTCCAGTTTATGAAATAGAGCCTCTGGAGAAAATTACTGATGCCTATCTTGACCAGTACCTGTGGTACGAGGGTGATAAGCGCCACTTGTTCCCAAACTGGATCAAGCCAGCAGACTCAGAGCCGCCACCACTTCTCGTTTACAAGTGGTGTCAAGGTATCAACAATTTACAAGGGATATGGGACACAGGGGATGGGCAATGTGTGGTGATGCTCCAGACTAAGTTTGAAAAGTTTTTTGAGAAGATCGATTTGACCATGTTGAACAGGTACCTACTTGTTTATTAATGGTAAATTCTCAGCTTTCTGTGCTAATAATATTCTGTGTTGATTTTTTCAGGCTACTTCGTTTGGTTCTTGACCACAATATTGCGGATTATGTGTCTGCCAAGAATAATGTGGTTCTGTCTTACAAAGATATGAGTCATA